AGGGGAGAGAAATGGTGCCCTGTTTGTAAGGCGTGTAAGGGAAATGCATGCAACAGGATTATTTATAGTCATCAGTCTCTAGCGAACGTTATAGTTTGTTGTTAATAATTATGTATAACAGGAGATTGTAAACATTAAGTTACGAAATGTTTATTGAAACGTTTCTGACATACCGTTCTATTGGCCGGACCGCAAAAATACTCGCTGTGGGCCGTGAGTTTGACACGCTTGCTCTAAGCGTCCAGCACAGGTGGCGATTCACACTTAACTGAGTCAAAAATGTGGGAAAGGAAACATTGCGTTTCTGAGTGGAAGGAGGCGCATGTGAAGGGCTCAGTAACCACACGGACCACACGGGACCACACGGGACCACACGGGACCACAGAGCACCCCCATCACTAGAAAGTGATACTTAATGGCCTTGACTCTGAGTACAGAGGACCTGGGTTCAAATCTTGTCCCCTGCACCATGCAAACTCTGTGCGTGTGTGTGTGACTTTGGGGAAGTTACTTACCTTCCTGGCCTGACTTCCCTCATCTGGAAAAAAGGGTTAACTTTTTCAAAATAGTTTATTCATGTTTAGAGAGAGAGGGAGGGAGAGAGGAAGAGACAAACAGTGATGCGAGAGCGAAACCTCCACTAGCTGCCTCCTGCACGCCCCCTACAGGGGTTTAAGCCTGAAACCCTGGCCTGTGCCCTGAGGGGGAATCGAACCAGGAACCTTTCTGAGTGAGCAGGGCTGACGCCCAACCTGGACCAGGATGAGGCTTCTAATCGGGTCCTACCTTTAGGGGGCGCCCAAACTCGCAGTAATCAGGATCAGTAAAATCTTCATACAATAGTTTCAAAAGTCAAAATTAATGGAAAAATAAGCCACAGCAAACGAAATATTAACATTTTAAATAAAGACAGGATCCTACCGACCTCACCGGGCTCCCCCTAGTCTCGGCTCTGTCAGGTCTTGTCTTGGGTTGAAATGTTGAGGTTTTGTTCATCGTGGATGTTTCCCATTAATTTTTAAAAAATATATTTTATTGAATTTTTACAGAGAGGATGGGAAAGGGATAGAAAGTTAGAAACATGGATGAGAGAGAAACATCCATCAGTTGCCTCCTGCACACTCCCTACTGGGGGTATGCCCGCAACCCAGGTACATGCCCTTGACAGGAATCGAACCAGGGACCCTTCAGTCTGCAGGCTGACGCTCTATCCACTGAGCCACACCGGTCAGGGCTTTCGCATTAATTTTGATTGTTTTAAAATACGGCACAAACACATGTACCTTGATTACTGAGATGACTCGTCCGAACCTCCTGCACCACCCCTCCTGCTTCTGCACCTAAAGGCACCTCTCACACCCTCCCCCTTACCCGCTGCATCCCCCCTGCCCTCTGCCCCCTCCGTCCTGCCCATACCCTCCACACCCTCCACACCCCCAACTCTCCCGGATTCCGGTTCCGCTTCTTCGTGCATACTCCCACACCTTTCATCCCCTCACCATCCTGCATCCCC